ATATATATATATATATATATATATTAAATTATAAATATATATTTTAATAAATATTATATTATTTATATATTTTATATAATATATAAAATACATATTATATATTTTATAAAATATATAATACTGAATTGGGTCAGGTCGGGCTCGGGCTGGGCTTTTTTGACAAATTCCGAGCCCGGCCCGAAACACGGTCGGGCTTACTGTGTTAAGCCCGAGGTCAGGCCCGCGGGCCTAATTATATGACCAAGCCTGGCCAGGGTGCGGGCCAGGCCGGGCCGTTGGGCTACCCGGCCCATGAACAGGTCTAATCATATTGAGAATTATCAGAAATAAGAGATACACCACGAGGCAAACTACTTTGTGAACTAGTTGAATCTTTTATTTGAGTTGGATCATATGCATTGCCACTCAAGTTAGTTGTTTCCAGGGGATTTCTTTGTAGTTTCTATTGGCTTAAGCATGAGTGGTTTTATTTTTAACTCAAATCAGGTTTGGATGTTACTATATTTACATCATGTTGATGCTTATTTGTTGCTGAATATGATAAAAAGGACATATATGGATTGAGGTAGTAAGAAATGATTTAATAGTCCATATTTTTTTATGAAGGGTGATTTGGTCCGACCAAATAAAAAGGGGACATGTGAACACGAATTGACTAAGAGATGACAATTCAGCATGGCATACCTAGTTTGCAACAATTGAGTTCAGGTATTTTGGCACCTCGGCACAAGGAACGCCTCGGCTTGAGGCTCATCTCGGCGTAGGGTCACCTCGGCACTAGTCTCACTTTGGCATCGAGGCCCCTTGGTATTCAATCCAGTTTGAAATTAAAAGACCGAAGTATCGGCTTGGGACCACAACTCGAATTGCCACAAACTGACTCCCATGTAACAAACCCCAGAGGTCTCTCCAACGGATCCTGAATCTCTCGGGATCATGATGAGTTAACAGATCCCGACCTTTTCGGGATTGCGATGAGGACTTACCCTGACTCCGTCAGAATCGGAAGTGGAACGAGATAAGCCTTACCTGTATACTGCTCCTTAGGAAGCGGAGCAAACTCTATCTCCACACCCCGGATATCCCGGAGATCTTTCGTGTGCCCCATGACTACTCCAGTATATAAAGGCACCAACCCCAATGGCGCAAGGTATGCATGATTTTACAGCTCTCTAGCACTCTAAGCTCTCAAAGCTCTTCAGCTCGCATCAAATTACTAACTTAAGCATCGGAGCGACCTCGCCGGGTTAGCCACCCCGGGTTCTTTGATCCTTTCTTGTAGATTCACTTAGCTCGCCATCCAACTGGAAGCTAGATCATCCTCCAACAGGGAGCAACAGGGAGCAGTCATATTGTGCTACATCAATTGGCGTCGTCTGTGGGAAGACGATCAAAAAGCCTTGTTCACAATCAACAACTTCTCATTGAAATCAATGGCCTCTTTCAGTCATGTTGGACAGAGAAGTGAGATGAATGTCTCTGGGGGGAAACCTCAGCTTCCTTTAGTGTACATTGGCCAGTTCACCATACCGCTTACTGCGACTGGGGTCCCAACACTGACCATGCCACAAAACACCACACAGGTGAACGCCCCACTCCCTCTAGTGGTAGGCGCAACCTTCGCTGAGCCATTTGTGGTTCCCCCAGAGTTGGACAATCTCAGTTTGATAACTTGGTGCACTGCGTGCGGGCCCATCCAGGTCCAAATGTAGCAGTTTCATCAGTACCAGCAGTATATGTTCTACCAGCACTACCAGCAACAGTTCCCTCCACTGCCATAGAGCCAGCAGCCGGTTCCACCAAGGCACCCAGGGACCCAGCAGAACCAGAACCGACCTTGCGTGAACCAGGACATCACTCGATCTCCCCACTGAGGCAAGGAGACTTCCTAAGTCCCAGTTCCTCCCAGGAGTCAAGTCTCACCTCGCAGGAAGAAAGACAGTCAGATCACTCCACCTGCTTCACAAGGCAACCTCGGAAACAGGTCCGGTGACACTCAACCCAACCGGGCCATTCTTCCTCGGCATTCACGTCAAGAAGGATCACTCGCAGGAAACCGGTTCGGGGTTCTGGGTGCGAACTCAAGGCAAGGCCCCTCTGTCCACGATAGTCAGCCCCAGAACCCCACAAGGAACCAAGAGCTATCTCGCAGCAGAATAGTACCAGAGCATGCTAAGGTTAGCAGCACCAATGCAGAGCCATCAAAGAAGCAGCAACGGATGCGTCGCAAGGCACGTTGAACTTTAGTACAGAACAACCAGCTTGCGAGATCGAACCAACAAGAATAGATGAAAGGTAAAGAGGAAGTGAGCTCGGTAGCTACAAAGACCGCTCCTCTACTCTTCGGGTCGTCCCTTCTGTCTTCCGAACTCTGGGCGACCCCGATGCCCAAGGACTTCAAGATGCCTCCCCTAGATAAGTATGACGGATCTTTTGATCCTAATGATCACATGGATTCCTTCCAGTCTTAGATGCACCTAGCTGAGGCTGACGAATCCTGCATGTGCGTAGCTTTCTCCACCACCTTCAAGGGAGTAGTTCGGACTTGGTACCGAAACCTTGCGCCAGGATCAATCAAGAGCTGGGCGTAGTTCGTGGAATTATTTACCTCGCACTTCATCACCAGTAAGAAGTGCCTGAAGTCACAAGAGAGTCTGATTAACGTAGTTCAAAGAGAAGGGGAGTCCATCAGAAGCTACATCAAGCGGTTCAACGACACCTACTTGCAGATCCCTGACCTAGACCCAGCGGTGAGACTCATGGCCAATAAACCGAAAGACATAATAGAATTCCTCAAGCTCGCTGACCAGTTCATCGGAACTGAGGAAGAGATGATTCAGAAGATAGAAAATCCAACAGAGAAAAAAAGAGATGGTGACAACACAAGTAATGACAGGAATAAAAGAAGAAAGAGTAAGTTCCTGACTAGGGGAGGAAACAAGTCTGGGAGCCAATCTCTTTCGTGATCTCGCAAGTCAGGTCAGCGCTCCAGGACCCCACCTGTTGAAAGGACGAACTACACACCCCTCAACGCTAAGCGAGGAGAAATCTTGATGGCTATCAAAGACTCCTCCTTTGTCAAGTGGCCTCCTAGGTTGAGGGGAGATCCCGCCACCAAAAACAAAAATGTCTACTGTCACTTCCACAGAGACCACAAACACAGTACAGAGAACTATAGGAACCTCCACGATGAGATTGAGGAGCTCATCCGTCGCGGGTATTTGAAAATTTTCGTACAGAGAGAAGAAAGAAGCCAGACAGATCGACAAACAGACCGACAGAAGAACCAAAGAAGGAGTGCCCCCGAATCTAGCAATAGACAGAACGAGCAGCCGCCACGGCAACTACCCGAGGAGAGATTGATCCACGGGGTAATCAATATGATTACTGGCGGGTCCATCATCGCAGGGTGCACTTCAGCAGCCGAATGAACCTCAGTCCGTGAACTAGAAAGCGAGGAGCAGAACCCGCCAAAACGACCCCGACTTGAAGACCCTATTTACTTCATGGAGGACAATGCGCGCGGGATCCAATATCCTCAAGATGATGCCCTAGTGATAAAGCTGAGGTTGAATGACTTCGAAGTCAAGCGCATCTTGGTGGATTCGGATAGCTCGACGGACATATTATTCAAGGACACATTCGACAATAGGGCTGTTCATGGGTCGGGTTGGGTCGGTTTACTGAGGTTTTTCCAACCGACCAGACCTGATCAGGTTACCTGAGATGGAAACTGAAACCGACCCAGTGTTAAGCAAAACCGACCTGGTCGGTTTGAGTCAGGTTGGGTCGGTTTCGGTCGATTTCGGCTCTAAGTTCATCCATGCCCCCCATGGCCCCCTAGTTTTCTGAAAATATATTTAAAACTGAAATATGTATTTTAGAAATATATATATATATATATATATATATATATATATATATATATATATATATATATATATATATATATAGAAATATATATATATATATATATATAAACAAAAATATACATACAAATATATTGGAATATATATTTTCTAGAAATATATATCTKACATATTTCATAATATATATTTTTTAGATATAGATATTGGAATATATATTTTCAGATATTTCAGTTTTTAGTTAAGTAGGAACTAAGTCAGTTCGGTTCGGGTTGGTTTCGGTTTTCACACAAGAAAACCAAAACCGACCCGAACCATCGGTTTATGAATTTGTACAACCCGAAACCGACCGGTGCTGATGAAAACCCGACCGACTCGGGTTGGATCGGTCTGGGTTGATCGGTTTGGGGTTTCTTATGAACAGCCCTATTCGACAAGTTGCAGCTCCAGGAAAGCGACCTAAAGTTGATAGATACTCCCTTGGTAGGGTTCAGCGGCGAGGAGGTCAGACCTCTAGGACAAGTTTCAATACCCGTAGAGGTCGACACGTGGCTGAATATTGTGAGGTTCGAGCACACATTTCTTGTAGTCACAACTCCTCTTCCTATAATGCCATAGTAGGTCGGCCCATTACGCACGCCCTACATGCGGTAGTATCCACCTACTACCTGGCAATGAAGTTCTCAACGGACTACGGAGTAGGATTTGTGCGAGGTAACCATCTCAAATCTCGCAAATGCTACGTAGCTGCCCTCAAGGGGAAAGCCAAGCTAGCGGCTGACATCAAGCTCGAGCGACCAACGGAGTATGCCGACGAGTGAGCTACACCAACAGAAGAGACGGTCCACATCCCAGTCTCAACCGATGACCCAGCTAAGACTCTCTAGATCGGCGCTTCGATCGAGGAGCCACTTCGCTCGCAGCTGGTAAGCTTTTTACTTCAAAATTTAGATATATTTGCTTGGTCCGCGGAAGAAATGCCTGGAATAGATTCTAAAATTTTAACTCACAAGCTAAATATCGATCCCTAGTCAGGCCGGTAAGACATAAAAGCGCAACCTCGCCCCAAAACGCTGGAGGATAGTCGATGAAGAGGTCGGGAAGATCTTAGCGCCAAACTTCATCAGGGAAGTCCATTACCTGAGTTGGGTAGCTAACCCAGTTATGGTAAAAAAGGCCAACAGTAAATGGCGCATGTGCGTCAATTATATCGACCTGAATAGTGCCTGCCCAAAAGATTGCTTCCCGCTGCCCAAGATCAATTGCCTAGTGGACGTGACTTCAGGGCATGAGTTGTTGAGATTTTTGGATGTATACTCTGGTTACAACCAGATCAGGATGGACCCCGCTGATGAAGAAAAGACGACATTTATAACTGAGCTCGGGTTGTATTGCTACAAGGTCATGCCCTTCGGATTAAAAAATGTTGGGGCAACCTTTCAAAGACTTGTAAACAAAATTTTTGAGTCGTTAATCGGCAATAAAGTTGAGTGTTATGTAGTTGACATGGTCGTGAAGACCCAATTTTCAAAATTTTTGTTAGGCGATTTGCAAAGTGTTTTTGAAAATTTGCGTAAGTATAATATGAAATTAAATCCCAACAAGTGTGTCTTCAAGGTCACCTTGGGTAAATTTTTGGGCTACATAGTCAACCGACGTAGCATTGAAGCCAACTCGGAAAAAATAAAGGCCATCTTAGATATGAGACCACCCCGCAAATTAAAAGAGGTTCAGAGGCTGAATGGCCGGATAGCCGCTCTGAGCCGTCTCATGTCCAAATTGGCAGATCGCTGCCTATCTTTTTTTAAAGCTATAAAAAAGAGTAAAGACTTCAAGTGGACTGCAGAGTGTCAACTCGCCTTCGACGAGCTAAAAAGATACTTAGCTAGTACCCCGATTTTGACCCGACTCGAGGAAGGGGATATTTTAAAGCTGTACCTTTCCGCAAGTGACGAGGTGGTCAGCTCGGTACTGATAAAAGAGGTAGATCGGGTCCAACAACCCATCTACTATGTTAGCAAAGTTTTGCAAGATGTTGAAACAAGGTACCTAGAGATCGAGAAACTGACGTACGCGCTAGTCATAGCAGCTCGCAAGTTTCGTCCGTACTTCCAAGCCCACACTATCATCGTCCTCACCAACAAGCCTCTGAGACAAATCCTGCTCAAGCCCAAAGTGTTTGGCAGATTGACGAAGTGGGCTATCGAACTCAACGAGTACGACATCCGGTATGAACCTCGGACGGAAATTAAAGCCCAAGCCTTGGCCGATTTTTTGGCAGAGTGTACGTTTAGTACCGCAACTCCCGAGATGGCCGAGCTCGAGAACACGGTGGAAGCTTCAACCAGTGTGGCACCAATCCCGGTTAGAGATGGTCCAACCTGGGATGAGGAGCCCTGGATCCACCACGTTGACGGCTCATCCAACCAACAAGGAAGCGGTGCGGGAATAATTCTGTATGGTCCAAGCAAGGTGAAACTGGAATACACACTTCGGTTCAGGTTCCCAGCATCGAACAATGAAGCAGAGTATGAAGCATTGGTTGTCGAGCTCACTCTAGCAAAGGAAGTAAAAGCTAAGCACCTCGTCATATGTAGCAACTCTCAGCTTGTGGTCAACCAAGTCAGCGACGAGTATGAAGCCCGTGACCCCACCATGGCTGCCTATTTGGCCAAAGTCAGGGAGATCCTGTGCGGCTTCATCTCTTATTTCATCAGACAGATCCCAAGATCTGAGAACGTTGAGGCCAATGCCTTGTCCCGATTAGCCAACACAAGCAGCAACACCATGCAGATCGTGTACGTAGAGGACTTACCCCGACCTAGCATTCTCGGGGGGGAGGAGAGGTTGCCCCTGTTGTACAAGCAGAGCCGAGCTGGATTGATCCACTCATGAGTTATTTGCTTCACGGGACCCTTCCTATAGAACGCAATGCGGCCCGAAGGGTAGAGCGTTAGTCGGCTAAGTACGTCATTATAGACAGACAGCTGTACAGGAGATCCTTCACGCTCCCCTACTTGCGTTGTTTGCGAACCTCAGATGCCGAGTTTGTTCTCCGCGACACCCATGAAGGTTTGTGCGACGGACACTTGGGGGGTAGGGCTCTCGCCCAAAAGGCATTTCGACAGGGCTACTATTGGCCCATGATGAAGCCTGACGCACTCGAGCTCGTCAAGAAATGCGATAAGTGTCAAAGGCACGCTAACATCCACCACCAACCTGTTGTTGACCTGAAATACCTCACCAGCCCGTGACCCTTCGCACAGTGGGGAATTGACATACTAGGCCCATTCCCGCCAGCGACCGGACACAGGAAGTTTCTGGTCGTGGTAGTAGACTATTTCACGAAGTGGGTGGAAGTTGAACCTCTAACAACAATCATAGCCCGCAATGTATAAAACATCTTTTGGAAGAACATAGTGTGTCGCTTTGGGCTACCTCGGGTACTCATCTCCGAAAATGGGAAGCAGTTCGAAGATATAAAATTTCAAAATTGGTGTGCTGAAATGGGAATTCAGTAGAATTTCACCTCGGTGGCACACCCCTAGGAAAACGGGCAAGCGAAAGTCACCAACAGAGCTATACTTCGTGGACTGAAACCCACCTAACTCAAGCCAAAGGATTGTGGGTAGACGAATTGCCCAATGTGCTCTGGGCCTATCGGAGACTGACACAGGTGAGACTCCCTTCAACCTCACTTATGGCACAGAAGTGGTGATCCCTATAGAGATCGAGGTGCTTACACTACGCTTGGAGGCCTACGATGAAGAAACGAATGATGACGAGCTCTATACTAACCTAGACCTAGTGGAAGAAGTACGAGACCTAGCATACATTCGGACTGCAGCTTACCAACAGAGAGTAGCTCGGTACTATAACGCCCGGGTCAAGAAGCGACACTTCCG